CCGAGTCCCAGCTGATCGGCTGGGTCTTCTTTTGTTGCCCTGCACAGAAGAACAGAGCTGGAAAGCAGGTTAATAGAGTGGGGAGGGAATGGGGATTTTGCAGTAATCTTCCCCTGAGTGGGGTGGGAGATTTTATAGCATCCTTCCCCTGCCATGCCCACCAAGCCACTCCCACAGAACTGGTAAAAAAAATTGAATCCCACCACTGGAGGAAAGGCAGGCAGGAAGGCAGGAAGGAAGGAAGGTTGGTTTACCCTAACATATTACCCACATAAAACATAACAGGGAGTTTCCCCCTAGACTTAAGCAACTTTAGCTGGGAAGCCAGCTGATAATTAATGAGATCATTGCCAAAAGAGTTTAAGGGGAGTTGTTTTTCCTTTTTTCAGTTCTGAAATGTTTTTCCCATGAACTAATTGTAGGAAAACTTCCTCATTAATACCAATGGGAGATTTCTTCCTAGGAAATATCAACTTTTCTTAGCAGGGAAATTGAGAGATTATAGTAAGATTATTACAGCCACATCCGAACCCACAGAAACCCTCCAGATCAGGGGTCTCCAACCTTGGCAACTTTAAGACTTGTGGATTTCAATTCCCAGAATTCCTCAGCCAGTTGCCAAGGTTGGAGACCCCTGCTCCAGATGATTGTGGTCCTGATAAAATCATCAGCCACCTGATGAAATTATTTGTGTTATATCAGACCTGTATCTGCTATGGCTTCCTATGTCTTTGTATATAGCTGGAAAATTACAAGTTGGAATATACTGTCTTCATAAAATACAGAGTTTCACCGTACAGTGATATTTATTCTGGCAGGAGGGTAGATGGCTATGTAAAATGAATTTTAACATATATATGTATATGGTAAATTTACAATTTATGCCAAATGATGTTATAATGTGGTTGGCTTGCAAATATCATAAAATGTATCACAGGTTTGTTCCAATTTTTTTCTGCCATGAATAGTACCCCAAATCACAGAGATCCATCAAAGGCTGCTTGGACATTTTAATTATTCCATTGGCAGGGAAACAGAACACATTCCAAAATGTTTAATTGTATATTTAATTTTCTCTTTATGTAAAATTATGAGCATTTAAATAATTTCAAGTGTTCCCTCCTACCATTTATTCTCTCTCCTTTTCAGATAATGAATATGTATTTATTGATCTGGAGCAGAAGCTTTGTAAATATTTTGTAAAGGAGTGGAAGAAAGAAGGAAGCAGAGTGAGTCCTTCAGTGTGTATTTGTAACATTGAGTTCTTTCCTGTATTGTATTGCTGAAACTGCATCTGATTGAACTAAAGCTAATTATAACTTGGGTCCAATGTCAGTTTTGTACTCCACGTACATTTGTCTACTGCAATGATTTCTTTCTTTTCTTGGAGCATTCCGAAATTCTAACAGTGCAATCCTATCCTTTAGGTATTTGTTAGATTTAAATTTTGACTTTTATTCAAACTCCTAGGCAACAGTGTGCATGTATTTATAGTCTGCCTTTGTTGTTGTTGTTTTTGCAAATAACTCAAGGCAGGAAACATATCCAACACACTTTCCTCCTCCTATTTTCCCCACAACAACCACCTTAGGGCTGTTGGGCTGAGAGAGAAACTGTTGGGCTGAGAGAGAATGACTGGCCCAAAGTCACCCAGGTGTCTTTCATGGCTAAGGCAAGACTTGAACTCATGGTCTCTTCCTTTCCAACCCTGGTGCCTTAACCATTAGACCAAAATGGGTCTCTGTGCATGCATATGTGTATGTGGTATTCTTTCTTTTTTCTACAAGAATAATCCCTTGAGGTAGGGTAACTTGTATCTGGATCTAGCTACAAGTAGACTTGTATCTGGATCCTTCCCAGTGCCAATCCACACTGTAATCGCTATGCCACACTGCCTCTCTACTCAGAAATAAGCCCTTTGGTAAATATAAATGTACGTTGGTGATTGTTGAGGAAATATGTCATTCAATGAGAAACTGATGCAAAATATCATGGCTTGTTTTTGTCCCAATATTTAGTGTTCTATATTTGCAATGTTTTGCTGTAAGTACAGCAAGGTTTTTCAGTCGTTATTTATTTATGTTATTTAAATTTAGGCTTCACTGTTTGTGGTACCACTGCCATAAACATTAGGGACTTAAGTATAATGTATCCTTATCAGTTTATCTACCTACTTTGGCAGCCATGTTTTCATGTTGGCTGGAACATACCTGGTTAAATATGTGGGTTTGATTATTTAGGGTCTACCGGAAATCAGGATTAAAAAAGACAGAGACTAAAGTATAAGAGTTTAATATTTTAAAATAAAGGTGTAAATAAAATACAAGTAAGCATCAACACACAGGTATTTATCACTTACTGGAAAGCCCAGGCAGATAGGTGCCTGTTGATAGAAAATTATTTCTTTGGGTTTTCCTTGTATTTCACTTAAAAATCGAAGGGCAGATATCCAGTACAATCTGGCTCTATTTAAAACAATCTTAATCTCTGCTGTTATAAAAAATCAAACTAGTGCAGAGCAAGGCTCAGAGATAGTTTAATGCTTTTTATAAATATAACCTGCAGATTGCTGTTTGGGATCAATTGTGTCAGTAGACACAAGAGTTGAACCCATTCCATTGATGGTTGCATAGCTTCAAAATGGACTGAGAATAAAACTATGAAAGAATGAGACAGATAGTTTTGAGTGACCAGGAACACCTATAAATGAGATAGATAAATGAAAGATAGACAGATGGATAGACAGATAGATGAATGGATGGATGAAGTTGTTTGACTTCTCTTTTGCTGTTTTTATTTCAAAGGGAACAGAAAAGTTCATCCCTCCTTTGGTTGCATTCTTCAGAGTACAGTATTATGTAGAAAATGGACGAGTTATAAGGTACTATTGATTATTACTTTTTTTAAAAAAATACTCTACATCAATGTTCACCCTTTTGTTCTTCTATTTAATATAATGCCGTATTTAGCTTTCTGTAGCCAGTTTGCTTAGGAGGGAATGGGTTGTGAATGTGTTGGATTCAAGTACCTTAGCTCCACTGTCAAACACAAAATAATAGTTTGGCACTAAATCATTGTTCCATCACATGTGACATCTTTTGTAAATGGCAATCTGGTTTTCTATTTTTGATTAAGGTAGTTCTATATATGACTTTGGCTGGTTTAGTAACCTGAAGAGAAAAATGTTGCCTCTTTTCAAACTGTCAAGAGAGTTCTGAAGGTGCTTCTTTTCCACAATAGAAGTTAGATTAATTCTTTCATTAACTGTATTACCTATAATGGCCTGTTGTCAAACCTGCAGAGCTTTTTTGTGTAGCAAACATGAAAGTATGAATGGCAGGTGCATGGAAACACCTGTGCATACACCTTGAATAGAGCTACATTCTCCACCAGGGTTGTGCAGTGATCTGGATTTGAAAAGGAAAAGGTGATATTCACCATGTGTGAGAATACACCTCACACACGTGGGCATCATTTGAAATCAAATCCAAAGAAGTGTGGTCTTTTCCTGATTCACATGGTTACTGCTGCCTGATTTCAGAAAAAAAATGAATCATACTTAAGGTGATATAGGCAGGTACAACACATATACCTGTGGGCAGTCCAGCTCACCTTTATCCCCTGTACAACACTCTATTGTGTATATAAAAATGATAATAATTTATAAAACTTGTATGTTGCACAACTCTGTATGACTATGGGAAAGCTTATAACCATCCAATAAATTAAATAAAGTCACCCAAACATAAAAATAAAGAAAATATAGGAAGCAAAGTATGTGTATGTGTGAGGGGTCTCTCTCTCCCTTGCCAAAGGCAGAAGGGCTTCGTGAGTCTACTAAATAACAGCAAAGTGGGATCCATCCAGATCTTGGAGAGAACATTGTTCCAGAGGGCAGATGCTATTAAAAGTATGCTTATGAGATCCTGAAAGATGGCATTGTTTAATCAAAGGAATTTTGGACCTATCTACCCAGCTAGTCAGATATTATGGGAGATGCATGGTTTCTTAAGTAACCAGGTAGTATGTCACGAAGGTCTTTGTAGATAACAACCAGAGCCCTGAATCACTTTCAGAGGCAAATCAGTAACCAAATCAGCTGATGAAGCAGAGGTATCACTGTGCCAAGGCATGCCCATTCAGTTAATTTCTATAGCTGCCTACCTCAGTCAAGTAGTCTGAGTGGCTTAGGGTTCAAAAAATGTGTTACAATTAAAACACAATAAAAATATCCAAAATAAATATACGTAGCAGATGAAAAACTTGCCCAGTTAGCAATAAAGCTAAAGGGGTGGGGTGGGGGTTGACACAGGCTTGGGAACATAAGCAGGTTTTTAAGTCCTTACAAAAGGCTAACAGGGTTGGGACCATTCTAATCTCCAGAGGGAGGATATTCCATAGAGAGGAGCCACTGTGGGGAAAAAAAAAACACTGCCAGCCAATACCCTTTGGCTGATGAGATCTGCAGCATGCTCATTCTGCTAGGATCAACTTGGATAGCTAGAGATTCTTAGAAAAAGGTGATCCCTCAAGTAGCCTGGTCTGGAGTCATGTAGAGCTTTAAAGGTGACAACCAGCATCTTGAATTGCGTCTGGAAACTTACTGCCAACCAATGCATGCAGAAGTGGTGCAATGTGTGCTGTATATTTGGAATCATTTATTGCCTGTATAACCATGTTTTGCACCAGTTAAAGTTTCCAAATGTTCTTCACGGGTAGCCCATGTAGAGCATGTTGCAGTAGTCTAAGTGAGATGTTAAAAGGGCATTGAGTTATAAAGAGTAAAACCTCCTGGTCCAAAAGTGGGCACAACTAGCGTACCACTCCAAGGTGTGCAAAGGCCTTCCTAGCCACGGCTGCCAGCTGTTCTTTGACCAGGAGTTGAGTGTCTAGGAGGACTCTCAGATTGCACACCAGGTGTGTCTGGAGTAGTACAAACCCATCCAGAGCTAAAGATGGAAGAACCTTGTGCCTGGAAGGTCTAAATACCCACATTACTTGCCATTACTGCTCACTTCCACATTTTGTACCAATTGAAGCTTCTGGGTGGTCTTCAAGGGTAGCCACACATTGAGAACATTTCAGTAGTCAAGCCATGACATGATCAGGACATGAGGGACCATCTGAAGTACCCCTGATCTAGGAATGGACAATACATTGCAGACATGCTTCTGAGGAAGCCCAGCAGATGTGTAAAGCATAGAATATTTCCAGGTGTTCTTTATCAGCTACCTCATTTTCATACTAAAATGTAATAAAATTTGACAACATTACAAACAATTTATCTTCTACTCATATCTAATTACAGATTTTTGGGGTGGGGGAGGCTTAGTTTATTAGTAAAGAAAAAAAATAGTAGAGGAAAAAGAAAATAGAACTTGGGGCAGATTTGATTCTTACAGAATGCAGCTTGCAAGCAACAGACATTGTTTCAAAAGGTGGTTCCATTCCAAATGGGCAAGTAACAGAATATATTTGTGTGATAGTCCCACACTGCAAGCTGAATTTGTGTCCTTGGGTTAGCCAAAACTTTCGAAAGGCCTAAATTAAAGCTTATCCTTTGCATTCACATAATCATTTAAAATTTAGAGCTGAACAAGACTTTGTTCCTTCTTTTCCTTTGGGCTGAAGGAAGGGCATCTCTACCCTGCTTTTATAAGAATGTTTCTCACAGTATCCCTTAGTGCTTTCCAAAGCCCTTTGGTCAAAGCAAAACTCTATAATTATGAGCACTCCTTAAAGTATATATCCTTAGCCACAATCCTAGAAAGGTAGCCTCATGTTGAAATGGTCTCTTTGTTTTTCTTGTTATAAGAAACCCTCCCCTTAGAATGCCACTCAGAGGTCATTTTTGTACACAATTGACTGGCTTGTCCTCTTTACGGCCCATTGTTACAATGTGGAGATGACAGAGGTAAAATAACTTTATCATATTTCTCAGTAACGAGGAAATACGTTCAGTTTAATGTCAACTCCCTAGAGTCCTCTCTTTCTCCCTCCCTCCCTCCCTCCCTCTCTCTCCCCCTCTCTCTTCCTTTGAGTCATTGATGGCTCATAGCAACTGCCTGGAGAAGTCTCTGGAGTTTTCTTGAACATTTTTGGAAGTGGTTTGCCATTGCCTCCTCCCTAGAGCTGAGAGAAATTGAGAAGCCTATGATTCATGCTAAAGATGGAATAAGAACTCCTGGCCTCCCAGTTTCTAGTCTGATGCCTCAACCACTACAATCATTTGGTTGTGGTTACTTTGGGATGAATTAATTTCACTCCTGTTACCGGAAAAACAGAAGGGCTGCCCTTTTTTTTACAAAAGGAGTTGATTTTTGAATTTACATAGGCTGCTTCATTTATCTCCATGTATGATCTAGACCAGAAGTGGAATTCAGCAGGTTCTGATAAGTTCTGAAGAACCGGTAGTGGAAATTTTGAGTAGTTCAGAGAACCGGCAAATCCCACCTCTGACTGGAGATTTTACAGTCTCCTTCCCCTGCCACGCCCACCAAGCCACACCCACAGAACTGGTAGTAAAAAAAATTGAATCCCACCACTGATCTGGACCTCCAATCACATCAAGAATGTTCATGGCCTCTGTAGACATGCCTCAGGGGGCCCTAGGCGGGGCCATTTCTGCCTGCTTTAGGTGGGGAATGGCTGAAGCAGACATAATCCTCTTCTGAAATCAGAAGATATTTTGCTGTTCATTCCAGGAGAAACCTGATCCTCAGAAAGGCAGTGAATATAGAACATGGCACCCAGATTTTTTATTGAGATTTGCTGAGTACATATTCCTAGGATGAACAATAGATTGTAGCACAGTTGCTTTATATAACCTCAAAGCCTTCACTTAAAATCAGGGCAACAAAATATGGAATACATCTCTCTGTAGATTTCTTCTCTCTCAGATTACTCTCCCTCTGTGCCTAATTATTCAAAATAGTTTAGGGTTTGTTCCTTAGCTAAACTTCTAAAGTGGTCTGACTTCCCTGAATTCATAGCTAAAATTCCCTTCACTCATAGTTAGTATGGCCATTGCTTCTATTGATTAAGTTGCTGAGAATAATAAAAATGGTCATTCAGTACCTCAGCAGAAACTTGAGTAAAGAAGTTGCCTTAAATAATACCCAAGGAGTAATTCTCTGCCTCTCGGATGGTTTTAGGAAGATTTTAAACTATTTCCTAAACAACATAACTAACAATAAATGATTGGAATTGATTGTTCATCAGTACAAAAATCCTCTAATGATGGGAAATTGGTTACATGTCCTCCTTTCCCTTCTTCTATTATTTTGCTTTTAACTAATGGTCTGTCCTCTTCTTCTTTTTCATTCTTACCCTCCTCTGCAGTGACAGAATGGCCCGGCATTATTACTACTGCCATCTGAGGGAACAAGTGTTGAAGTCACGATGCACCAACAAAGAAGAAATCTACTTCCTACTGGCTGCTTATGGTCTGCAGGTTGACCTTGGTGACTACAAAGATAATGTCCATGGAGAGAACTATTTTGAACCACAGACATATTTCCCTCAGTGGGTGAGTTTGGAAACGAAAGCTAAACCATTAGGTTTTGAGGCATTGTGAGTTCGAAGGAGCTTAAGAATCTTTCTTCTTTTGCACTTTCTTTGTATTCCTGTTTCACCTTTGCCTGGATAGAATACAAGTCATCTGAATTCATCCTGCAATTGATGCTGGTCACATCCTTGTGGGATGAGCCACTCAAATGTATTTTTTCTCAGGGCAGTTCTGGAGTTCTCTCTGGAATCTCTGCTTACAGATCTTCAGCAGATAGGTAGATAACTTTTATTGTTATTTTTTACTGTGGGCACACTGGCATACATTAAAAATTAAATTATTGCCTGCTCTCAAAAGTGTACACATACATAATACACATATACACATGCTATATACACACAGTACATATATAGCTACACCTATACATATAAATACATATAAATAAAGACAGACAGACAGACAGATATAAATCACAGTCTATCTTGAATATTTATTGGAAAGAAGAAGCTAGAGAGTACACAAGGTTGATGTTATATGGAAGAAAACTGTGACTGGATCAGGCTGTTCTGCTTCTGCTTCTGAAGATGTTTGAAATGAAAAATGGGGCATGGCACTGAGAAAGAAGATTATACAGAAATAACTTTTTCCTAATCACCAACCTTCTTAAATCTTCTGCCTTTCCTGAAAATTCCTCATCCAATAAGGTCATTAAGACTGCAGGGTGGAAGGGGACACAGGGATTTCTCCTAAAAGCAAATACTTCACTGGCCATAGCCTGTTCTCCTGAACATTCTGGAAACTAGGCTGAATCACCAGAAATACATCCCTGAGGGGTCCGAAGGGAATTTTATATATCAAGAAAGGATGGTTTTAATATTATGCATGCACACATCTTCCTCATCTTCGATCCTCCTTCCACATCTTCCATCCTCCTTCAGTCTCAGTCAACCACGGTTTTCTCTCCTATTGATATTCTCTATTGAGAATAAAATTAACCTAAGTGATGAGGGAAAGGAGTAGCATCTGTTCTTAGAGCCAGTTTTGGTGTTAGCAAACACCTAGAGTCCAAACCTCATTGTTCTTATCCTTCCGAGGTAAGTAAAATGAGGACCCAGATTGTTGGGAGCAATATGCTGACTTTGTAAACCGCTTAGAGAGGGCTGTGAAGCACTGTGTAGTGGTATATAAGTCTAAATGCTATTGCTATTATTTGCATGCTATGAGACAGGTAGGTAATTTACTACCAGAAAGGAACCTGGAATCCAGTGGGACATATTTCTCCCTGTCACCCGGGTATAGCAGTGAGATTATGTATATAATACTTCTCCGTTGATTCCGAAGTTCAGGATTGTTGCAGCATGCAGCAAAGAATTATGATCATGGTCATAACTGTTGGGGAAGAGGCCAAAAGCAGCAAACAAACAAGCAGTTTTGTTTGGAAATCTGGTTCCTAAACTCTTGGCGCTGAGCTGATGAGCTAAGAAAGATCAAGCCCCCAGGCAGCCAGATAATTAACACTGTGTGAAATTTGATGAGGCACACAAAGAACAGACATACCATAGCCGCCTAAGGGATCCTCCCTCTAATTAAGAGGATATTCAGGAGGAATTCTTGTCCAAGGTAGATCTTAAGGGCTTTTTAAAGGTCAGACGGTGATTAGGCAGAAGAATGCGAGCATAGTAGGTCTCAATTGTAAAAGCCCCCTAAATCCAGACTAGCTCCCTAACAAACAGCATCATATATAGGCCAGCTGCTAAGAATTGCAGAGAGTCTGGGTCACCCACAAAGAAAAAAGCTGATCAAGCTGGAAGAAAGATCTCCAGTTGAAAGATAGGTACAACCTCCATAGATTGAGAAGTGTCCAGGTGACGTGTAAAACTGTCGGGTGAGGCCAGTGAGTCTTGTACTCTCCTCATTGCCATCAGTTTCTTTCAACCAGCCTTTCAATTTATAAGATTTCTGTCCCACCTTTACTGCAGGAGTTCCAAGGTGTAGCCTAGATAATATTTCTTCCTCTATTAAAGAATATCCCTGCATTTGGGTGCCCCTTTAATGGGAGGGGGATATGTAGAGATTATTTCCACTTTGTTTGATTGATCTATTTTTCTGCAAGCAAAATGACAGGGCGGCCCTGATTTGCCGATTAAGAGAGGCCATTGTTTTGCTTCCCTGAATTGCTTTGAAGGTGTGTTTGCTCAGACTTCTGAGGAGTTGAAGAACTCTTTTGAAGATCTGCATAACCCTACTTCTTAAACCTTTGTAGATTACACTCTTACAGAGTACCTAACTGTCATAGAGGCCAGCGTGCAGGAGACGTTCTTCTGGGTTCACACACTTTGAAAAGCTAAGAAGCTGTTGATTCAAATCTAGGGCAATATTTCCCACCAAGATGACTTAAGACACCTGGGGCATTCTGAGCTCTTTCAACATCCCTACAGTCATGTTTGCTGACATTAGGTCAATTATCAGTTATAACCATTTTGATGAGATAACAAAAACTTAAAAATAAACGAAGTTAGACTTCCCCAACTTGGGCACCGTCCAGGTACACAGATTTCAATCACCAAAATTCAATTAGTATGGCCATTGTTAAGTATTTGGATGACTGCAATACTCACATCTGGAAGGTCCCTGTGTGGTGAAGTCTGTACAGAATAGTCTATTAGCAAAAATGTGCTCTGAAGACAGAGCTTTTACATATTCAATTTTTACTGTGCTGCAGTTGGATAAAAAAAATCTAATGTCTGCTGTACTTCTCTCCAGTTCAGATTAACATTTACATTACCTAAATTTACATTATTTTGAAAATCACAAATATACCTGCCATAAATGTTTTTATTATTATTTATTGAGCAGTTTTGCTATGTACTTTAAAAAGAGAGACAAAGTTAGAAAGTTCTTATTACACATGTGGCAAGTAATAATAGCTAACTCCTTTAGGGAAGAAAGATGCGTACTTATTTGTATTTATTTTAATGTATTTTTATACATTTGAATATAGCACTTCACCTTGTTTGGAGGCCAACGTGCTCTATATTTTAATCATTTTCCCATTAAAAATAAGAAATCAGTTAAGTATATAATAAAAGCCTTAATGCACCAAGAAAACTGTAGATTAACATATTTTGGGAAATATATATTTACAACATTAAAGAGTTTGTAATGAAGACATTGGGCAGGCCTTTTAGATTGTGTTCCATAGTCGGGAAGAGCAGGTGAAAAAGCTCTGGCAAGGATGGGCAAAAGAAAAAGTGCATTCTCACAAACACCTTGCACTGGACAGAGTTGAACATTTGGCCATTAAGAACTTTTAGCTTAATATTATCATGTGTTGAATTTTAGCTGCCTTCTGTCAATTTATTTACTGATTGTGGTTTTTTTCCCCCCTTCCGATAGATCATTGCCAAACGGGGGAGTGACTACATCCTGAAGCATGCACCAGAGATGCACCGAGAACAGAAAGGGCTGACAACCAGAGAAGCAATTCTGAAGTATGTGAAGGAGTCATGTCTGCTGGAAGATGTCCCTGTCCACTTCTACAGATTGCATAAGGTGCAATAAGAGGCCTTTTTTCAAGCTTTAGAACAGGGGTGCCCAACCATGGCAACTTTAAGTTTTGTGGACTTCAATTTCCAGAATTCTCCAACCAGCCATACTAGCTGAGGAATTCTGGGAGTTGAAGTCTGTAAGTTTTAAAAATTGCCAAGGTTGGACACCCCCTGCATATAATATTCTGCCTGCCAGTAGGTCTTGTTTGAGCTCCTATCCTAGATGTATTTTGAAAGAGCTGTAGCTGTCAGACTGTGATTCAATAGCAGGGGTTTGCACCACTCTAGAATAGTCAGTGAAAGAAAGCTTGCTTTTTTTGTCAACCTTCTAGCTTCATCTATTTTCATATTTCCTTTTCTTTTAAGATATTCGTGGCTTTTGCCTGACGTAAACTAAAAGTGCTAAAAACTGGCAAGATCTAACATGCCTCGTGCCCAAGTATTCAACAGGTTGAAAATTGGTTGCTTTAATACTTGGATTCCTGCTTAACTTGAAATACTGGAGGGAGTGAGGGAGTGATTATGAGTGTGTATGTGCTCCTTCCCCATCCCGCATATGTTGATGGTTAGACAAACTATATTTATCTTTCACTATTGCTTTCTGTGATGTTGGTGTTGATGAAGAAGAAGAAAAAGAAGGAGGATGGATAATTGTTTATGAAGTAGGCATAGGTTTCAATCTAAGGTTTCAAAACAACACTGTTAAACTGCTGATAGCTTCACAAGAAGCTCTGTCATAATCAGCATAATTGGATAAGAGAAATCTGGAATTACTGCTCGGAGTTGCACCAGTCAAAACTTAATCCTTAAACTGTTAATTCCCTAATTCATAGCTCCTGTTTATCATGGGTGGATGCTGCCTGGCGATGAAACCAAGGTGGAGAACAAAAGGCTTCCGTGCATCCTGCTGAGGGCTTTTCTCAGAGATCTTGTGATGGTCTTGGCTAATTCTTTGGAGCTTGACTTGTCAGCTTATTGGCCACAACCTGTGTTTGCTATTTTTTAAAAAAATGGTTTTCTCACTTGATCTTCTATTTCATCAGTCCTGAAATGACCTGAAAAGTTTGATGCAAGTGATCCTTTAGGCAGAAAAATAGTGATGGGGGAGAGGGGGTGTTTTATGCTGTTTCCATCTCAAACTGCTCAGTGCTAGAAAGAAGTATTTAGTATTGCTGGATGGGAATTCTGAGGGAGGGGGCTTTTCTTGATAATTTGTTTTCCTTACAGAGAAATCCAGACCAGCATCCAGTACAGAATAAAGTGTTCAGCAACATTAGTACTTTTTGACTAGTTGATTCAAAAAAAATTTTTTTTTCTTAAAAATCAAAGAAATGTCCAGTTCTATTCTCAAATGCTAATGCAAAAAGTCTTCCTATATCTCCTTAAAGTAAACCATTATTTAGTTTAGAACCAACAGAAAATAACAATGCTGGACTTAACTTGTATTCACATAGGTCGCATTCATAGAGTACATACCACAAGGTATTAAATCACAAATTCACCTGATTGCATGAGAAGGCAAGCCATGAAACAGTAACGTGACTCCAGCTTAGCATTTGTGTTAAGTGCAAATACAGGTGTTGGATCTTTTCCTGAGGTGGTTGAAAGCATTGGTTGAACACAACCACGGGTGTAACCTCCACAGCAGGGGTGTCAAACTCGCAACGTCACAATGGTGTCACGTGACGTATTGCAATTCCGCCCCCCTTTGCTAATCCAGGCGTGGGCGTGGCCAATGCATGACGCATCCAGCCCGCTGGCTGCAGGTTTGCTACCTCTGCTCTACAAAGGTAGATCTTAACAGGAAACAGGGAGAAGAGTGATAATGTGGAGACACAGTGAGGTAACTGTTGACATAGGAATTTCAGCTTGAAAACTACTTTAAAAATTAAAAGCAGAAGCTTGAGCAGAGCTTGTAACTTCCCTGTAGCAGATGCAGTCACTCCCAATTTAGTTCAACATGCTCCCACATGTCCACATCCTCCGCAGGCAGGCAGCTAAAATCTTCTGAGTCTCCAAGGTCAGCTCTTTACATAGAATATTTCAGTCATTCATTCTAGTGGTTACTAAAGCATGGATGAATGTAACAAAATCTTATTTTCCAAAGGAGAGTGTTGCTTGTGGGAAAGAAATGTTGCTGATGGGAAATAACCTTGACCATAGTTTTAGCCTGCAACTGTGTCAGGTTGAGAATCACTAATGTCGAGAATCATCTTCACTAATTGTCAGGGAAGTGAAGATGCAGAATTCCTTGTCATGCTGAATGTCTCTTTCTTCTCAGGATAAAAAGGAGGATCGTCCTACAGTCATCCTTGGTTTGACGCTTAAAGGGATACACATCTATCAGGTAACAACATCCGTAGCATTAGAATGCAGATATGCCTTCAGGTGTATTAGATCTTACTTTATTAAGCTTGACTTTACTGTGTCCATGGGTCACATTTTCAATGTTCAAGTACATAAAAATGGGTATTGTGCATGCAGTGCAAAGTAGCCAGGCCAGAATTGGGAAGTTGGTCCAATGCCAATAGATGCAAGTCTTTCCGGAATAGAAGAGTCATGTATGTTGGAGCAAGCTTACATTCAAAAACAAGTCACATTAATTTCAGTTCAGTTCTTGAACATGAGTTTCAGCCATAACATAGCATTATAACCAGTTTGGTCTAGTGGCTAAGACAACAGACTGAAAAGCAAGAGACTGTCAGTTCAACTCCCGCCTTAGCCAGTAAATCAAGCTGGGTGACATTGGGCCAGTCATTCTCTCTCAGCCCAACTCAAGTCACAGGGTTTTTGTTGTGGGGAAAGTAGGAGGTGGAAGGTGTGTTGGATATGTTTTTTCTGCCTTGAGTAAAAATAATAAATAAAATTGGTGTTAATTCTTTGGTCCACTTACAAGTAATCATGTTACTTTGTCCTTCATCAGTGGGGTTGCAGGAGAGAGTGGTAGGTTTTTTTGTTTTGTTTTGTTTTAAGATTTGACATTAAGAGTATTTGGGATTTTATCCCTTTGATTAATTTTATTAATTATTATTACACAATAAAATATAAGCCAACAGTTTTCTATAGATATTTTGCTCAACTGTTTCACTAAAAAGTAGACTATATGACGTTAGCTGTATATTTTAATTAAATTTTTATTCTGACATTAGCTTACAGTATTACTTAAATAATACTTAAAGTTGAAGTATACTTCCAAATTATATATTTGAATTTAATTGGGTGGTTATATGACAAACTTTAAATACAACAAAGTAAAAATAAGCTTTTTTTAGCCCCATATAAAACTTGTTCTTCACTGGATTATTTTTTAATATCTTTATCCTTAGTAAATCACATAAACAATTGTACAATTTGTTATATCCAACCACATTCTGCTAATATGACTTGAGATTAAGAATACCCATTAACGTATAACCATTAAAAGATTTAAATTTCCTTGATTAGTTCAAAAAGGAATGTGAGATGAGCTTTTCACATAAATAGACACTCTGGGAGTGTGATAATTACTGTATGTTGAATACTTTCAAAACATATATTAGGCATAGAATTATTACATATGCATCCTGTAAGAAAAGATCAAAGGAATTTCAATCAAGTATCTTTGAAAAGAAAATTAAGGAACTTTTGAATAATTATAATTATAAATTAAATCTATAAAAACAAGGAAAGTTAGAAATTCAACACAAAAAATGTCATAGTGGCACTTTTTAAAGATGCCTTTAATATTGCATGGATCAAATTTTTGAATCGTGTTTTTAGGAAAAATGGATTCTCAAGTGTTTAATATTGTTACAGGAAATAAACCATGTTCGTCAATTACTTTATGATTTTCCCTGGTCATATATTGGAAAAGTTGCATTTTTGGTAAGTGTTAAATATGACTTCTTAAACCTACTTTTAGTTTAAATTGTATTATTTGTTAAAAGCTTGGAACAGATAAATATACATTAAATATAAAATGTGTTTGTATGAAAGTACATGAATCTGTATGCAGGTGTGTGTCTATTCTAGAACAGAAATAGATAAAATGTAATTTATCCTGTAGTCCTGCAGTCCTTTATTCAGGAACCCAGGAATTACCTTCAAGTGAATTAAGTGAGCTTCTATATAGAATTGCAAATAAAACAAATTGCACTGCCAAAAGAGGGCAGTGAGTACATAGGAGAAGAAAAAATTCTGCACACACATATAAGTTGAAGTGAAAATGGTCCCAATTTTTGGTTAGAGCTAAGATACTTTTTGTATAACATAGAATACATATCCTTCATTGGTCAACCTGATTGCTAACTTATTACTTCTTCCACCTCATATATTAGATAACCTAGAAAATTAGTAAGAAAGTCTACTGAGCCCTCCCTGTTCTCCAGATATGTTCAGAATGAACTCATGGTCCCCTTATAGAGATTTCCAAGAAATGAATCTGTCCAGGCTTGAAGTGCTTTGAGGAAAGAAGTAGTAAGAAAATTGTAATATGCTTCCAGTCCCCTGTATGATGTTTCTGTGAGGAGGAGGAAAAATTCTGAATGCTAGAAAAGTGATGTGACTGCTGGTCTGGCTCTGGCAAAAATTAAGATGGCCCATGTCCACAGATAAGACAACCAGTCAAAAAGAACCCAATCATGATTTCCTTAGAATGGTATATCTCATTTAAGCTTATCGCAGGAGGCTGGACACCTTCTGATGAGCTCTCTAGTGTCAGGATTCCAGCAATTACCCCAATTAAAATATGAGTCTCGAGCCAAACTTCCAAATCTTCAAAGGATTTATTGGGATGTCGGCACTGCCTGGGTGTAGCCGACTCTGAGACACATAATTCAATATCACCCTTGACCCTGGTTTTCCCCCACCCTTGGATGTATCATAATTCATATTCTCTAATGAGACACATTTATAACCAAGAATCATCAATCATGTTCTTCAGTCATCTAGTTACTATCTCTGAAAAATTATGTATGGAATGCACTTTCAATTTCCAAGCTGCCGCACTGCTCTTTGAAACCCCTTTCCCCCCTCCCTTTCTGTTGGCAACTCTAAAACGACCATAGAAATATTTTACGAGTCGTCATCTAGTTTCTATATCGGCATATGAAGCTACCAGATCCCCTCCAGGTTCACTAGGCGCATATAAGCTGCAAGAAGCCCAATTGTCTGCCTCTGACCCCACAGGTAATTGCTTATATGGAATCTCAGAGAGTCAAACTCGATTTCATTGAGGGCTGCATCAGGGTTGTGTTTGGCCTTGAGGGGCCAGTGTAGGCGTGGCCAGATTGGCGTCACTCATGTCGGGGGCGCCTGTGGTGGCCCGATCACTCTGCCAATGAAAATGGGCTCCCAAGCTCTGTTTTCAGCTGTGACAGCCTCCTGCAACCCTCTGCCAGTGAAAATGGAGCTCAAGAGGGCTTCAGACAGCCCTCCCAAGCTCCATTTTCACTGGCAGGCTCCATGGGCCAGTCCTTTTCTGTTTCCAGGGCAGCCCCATGGGCCAGATCTATGCACCCCATGGGCCAGATCTGGCCCCCGGGCCTTGAGTTTGACGCCCCTGGTATAAAGGAATCCATGCTTGTATGTAAAGTAGAGGTACATTCTTTGCCCCCGGAAAAGTCTTGAATTTAGCAAAGTTTCCCAGAAATTAGTGCAAAGATAGTGCAACCCATCAAAATTTACCTGCTTGTGTGCCAATATCCTGCTTTTATAGCTGAGAGTAGTTTGGATCTTAAAAGACTTTGACATCTGAAGAAGTTTGTCACCCTGGGACCAGGGTGATAAGCTCACTGATAGGAAGTAGTCATACTTCAACAGGAAAAGTTATATTTGAATATCCATAGAGAACTTTATTCGTCATAATAAAGGCCTTTTTTTGTGTGCGCAGCTTCTCCTATGACTCATTCCAGCGTCCTTCAAAGACTTACAGTTTTCCTTTCCTCTCCTCTCCTCTCTTCTCTTGTCTTTCTTTTTTCTTTCATTTAGGGGAAAAAATTTGTGATCCAGCCAGATGGCTTGCCTTCTGCCCGTAAGTTGGTTTACTACACAGGCTGCCCCTTCCGATCTCGGCATTTGCTACAGCTGCTCAGCAACAGTCATCGGTTGTTTCTTAATATCCAGCCTGTACTCAAACAGATCCAGCTAATGGAAGATGCAGAAGGTATGTGAAAACGATACTGCCATTAAAATTGTTTTGTTTTGTTTTTTAAAGAAGAAAGTCCTGATTAAGTTGGTTAGTGGGTGGGTTGGTTGAATATGTGAATATTTGTTTGGTAAGCCAAGTACTCTATTTGAGCCAATTGAGGCAAGCAATATAAATGAGTGACAATGTTAAGACACCTGCCAAAGTTTGTATTCTATCAATTGACATTCAATCAACTCCCTAACCATTGCTAATCATTATTACATTTTCTGGTTTACTTACTGGAGTCAAAAAAAAGACAGATGGTGAGATGAAAGAAGAGAAAGTTTTCCGACCCAGTTTTGCATTTTATTCTTTATTTATCTATTTTATTTAACTGAGCTAATGGGCCTCTCAATTATTACAAATGCTGAGCTGCTTACATACTCAACATCCATAAAACAGAAGACAGCAATGAATAATTACCCCAATAAAATAGAATTTCCCTTTCTAGTCTGAGGAACATAAATTCTACATTACACAGATGTCCTGCTATAAATAGGGACAGCCTCATTTTCATATGGGAGGGTGTATAAGTCTGCCTCCATTGTTCCTATGGATGACTTCTCTGAGAGGTGGGACCCAATGAGCTCCAATTTTACTGGATAGGCAGATCCTATTGAAAGTAGATGGTGTCAAAACATGTTTGTGGTCCAGCTTAGGGCTATAATACATTCAGTGGACATTAAACAACTGCAAAACAACCTAAAACTGGCACATCAAAAAAAACCACATATTGCATGTTAGTAGGAATTCATACTGTTTTCATTTTTCCTCTCTAAAGGTATCCATTTTTATTAATTTCAACACATGGAATAATTCTTATGCAAAAGAAGTATGGCTGAATCATAACTCAATCATACTATGGTTGAAGCATGTCACAAACAGCAATAGCACTTAGATTTATATACCACTTCACAGTGCTTTTTATTGCCCTCTCTAAGCCGTTTTTCAGAGTCAGCTTATTGCCCCCAACAATTTGGGGTCCTCATTTTACCCACCTCAGAAGGATGGAAGGCTGAGTCAACCTTGAGCCTGATGAGATTCAAACTGCCAAATTGCAGGCAGCTGGCAGTCAGCAGAAGTAGCCTGCAGTATTGCACTCTAACCACTGTGCCACTGCGACAAATGCTATATATGATAATTATATGGGATATTGCCTTTTTAAAAAATAAATTAGTTCTTTGTTGCTAGGTTTTATTTCTCCTTTTCCTGTAACATTTTTGGTATTGTGTGGCTGTAATTTTTTTGTATTAATTTAACTTTAATCGTGATATAAAATTCAGTTTATTGATTTCTTTTTCACACTTTTCTTTATCTCCCACTCCGCTCTTCCAGAGAAAAAGAGGTATCGAGAATCCTACATCAGTGATACTTTGGAGATAGATTTTGATCCATCAGATAAGCAATCTCACAACAGTGGGAGCAGCAGAGGAAGTGAGGGTAACAACCGCCTATCTCGACAGTCTACTGACAGCCATGGCAGTTCACACACCTCTGGCATTGAGGCTGACTCAAGACAACACATATCTATGGAGATGTCTGTGGATGAACCCTTTGGGATGGATCCAATCCATCAGAAGGAGCAGTCTTGCAGTTCCAACATCAGTTACAGTAGCTCTGGAATTGATAGCAGCAGCAAAGATAAAGCCGAAAATGACTTGCACGATGATGGTAAGTTGTGAAAGGACAGAATCACTAGGAGCCATTGTGTCTCCAAGTCAAGATGGAAACAGTAGAAAAATGGTTGGCAGGTGGGTTTAGAAAAAGGCAGCATTCTTGCTAACTGTCTTCTATTGTGTCCAGAGGTGGAATTGGCTGTAGATGAGCCAGACACTTTACCTGCGGATGAATCTCATTTTGAAGAAATGTTCTATGAGGAATCTGTTGATTCTCAAGCAAAAGATGATATTTGGTGCCAAGGTAGGATGGCATTTGCATGATTCTTCTTGATTGAGTGTTGCCTCCTGTTAGTAAAATGTTGATATTCCTTAAATCTTAACTAAAACAAGCTGGATTACCTGTTATTTAGTTGAGGCTAATTTTATGTAAGGCACTTCAATTCTACTCTTTCACTGAACTGGAAGAGTTTGTACGTAAAGGGTAAAGGAAGACATATATGGGTAAGTTTTATTTGTCCATTGTTGATTAAGACAGATGCAAGGCCAACATTTTGTATGGTCTGGATTTCATAAGGAATAATGGTAATTTCATCAGTTTCTCTAAACAGTGGAGTTCCTAAATTGCTAAATGAAGCATTAGCACATTCAGTACTTTTTATGAATCTTTGAAACTTAAAGTCAGTTTGAATATATATGTTTTCTTTCTCTATAACCTGCTTTACATGTTGTTATTAAATACTTACATGCATTTACCTGTGAGTATTAGTGTACCATAGTGTATTAGATAGCTATAAGACTGGATGTATGAACTGGTAGGCCGCATACCATTATGACTGTCCAGTAGAAGTAAATTATATTGGAGGGGAAAAGGTTTGGGTGAAACCTTTAAAGTTATTTTATCACACCTTATCTTCAGGAAGTAATCTAAAATAAGGGGATTCATATTACTGGAAGGTTTGTCTTTTGGACTGAAGTTTTTTTAAATAGATACAAATCTGTATGTAGGCGTATCTATGAAATCAATGATCCAACTAAAACCAAGCATAGTTGGCCCATACATAGATGTAATCAAGCTTTGAACCAGGTTTACACTTAATGGGACATCTACAGTCTGTACTGCTTTGATGTTCCTCTTGCCATTCTGGCTGACTTGCTTAAACAATTTTAGGATCTCATCTGGCAGTCCAGAGTTTATCATGCATTGAATTGAGTCTTTTCTTTTGATAACAATTGTATTGATTTGTATGTTGAGAGCTGGCTCCAACTATGTCTCTGGAAGCTGCAGAACCCATCTCCATTTTTGACTGTCACCGACTATCCTGGTTTCCTCTCTGCCCTCACAGATATTGACAAGCACCCTCTATCTGCAGTACATGTCACCGTAATAAAGGTCAAAGGCCAGAGTGCGGACTCACTTAATCAGGTAAGATCATGGTTCATTAAAGAATGAAATTAAATCTCATGTCATTTCTCTTTTGCTCTATCCAGGCACTTTGATTCTACCATGTGCCCACCAGAATGCCACCATCACAAAATTGTGCCACAATGGTTGATGGCTGAGAAATAAAATCCTTTTTCTTTTTCCTTTTTTGTTTTTCAGGCACATCTAAATTAAAATATGTTTCACATCAACTACTTGGGGAAAAAAATACCCAACCCAAAATCTCACCCCCAGTATTTCCCCCAAATTCATATATTGCCCATTTATGCATCCTCATTTCATCCTCTTGTTCCTGACTGGCCCCAGAAATCATACTTTTAAAATCCCCAAGCTACAGAAGAGTTGCTCCTAAAATGTAGAAATTCAAAATGCCACCATCTGACAAAGAAATCAACTAGTCTTATTTGGGAGGAAATCTGGATTTGTGACACATCTATTTCTACACCTAAAAATCTAGTGTAACATATTCTAGAAACTGGATATGATCCCAAACCAAGAATTCATAGAAAGTCTTAGTTTTTGGATTTAATTTCCAAAGAAGGGTCCTGTGAAGCAATAATAATCTGGCCTGGATAGAAATGAAAATATACTTTCATCTTTGCACTTCAGTATTAATGTTGCTATTGTATGTTCCAAGTATGGTTGAAAAAAATGAATATATTTGTGGGATTTGCTATTCATTTTCAGTTCATTCCTTAGCATTCATGAGCAGCAAAGTTAAGAAAAGTGAAGTCAAATTCAGCTTAACAAAGGCAAAAAATGATTAATTTCCCCAAAATCAATAATCCTAAGTAGTTTAGTTCACTTTCTTTAAATTGTGAAACTCTTCGAACTGGTGATACATATCAAATGATGACTGTGTAACACTGAATTTGTTTAGTTGTGTAGACACAGTCTAACCTGGGGTGATCTTACATATCCCTTTTTACTATACAATGAAAGTTAAACATGCAGTTAAGATTGTGGTCTTGTAGCACATTTTTGTAAATATAATACAACACTGCATACCTTTTAAGTTGAATTATAACAGTGCTCAAATTTGGTGGTGCATGTCCAGATATTTATGAGCATAAAGTATAAGTTAATTACCATTGAGGGCTTGGAGTCATATTGATTGAAGGCTTCTCAGTGTTAATATCTTCAGTCATTGCCTTGCAGGTATATGGAAGGACAACTTGTTTAGTCTTACAACTCAGTAAGACTACACTAACAAAAAACTTCTTATGAAGTTCATTGGTAACAAGGGATTTGAACTGAGGTCTTCTCAGTCATAGCCCATTGTTCAAGCCACTGTCTATATATCTTCATGTCCTGGCTCTGTGTGGTTAGAACAGAATATAAAATGATATTTCATCTGACCCATTTCTTCTTATAGTTTTGTCGTTGTCATCTTTATTATATTTATATCATTGTGAAAACCTTGTATACACACTGAAATACAACATCATCATAATCCCAGACTTACAGTCTAGTGCAGGGGTGTGAAACTCGATTTCATTGAGGGCCGCATCAGGGTTGTGTTTGACCTTGGGGGGAGGTATAGCCAGTGGGGGGCATAGCCAGTATGACATCACTTGTGTCGGGGAGTACCTGTGGTGGCCCGAGCACTCTGCCAGCAAAAATGGGCTCCCAAGCTTCGTTTTTGGCTGGGACAGCCTCCTGCAGCAAAAATGGAGCTCGGAAGGGCTGTACGTGGCCCTCACGAGCTCCATTTTCACTGGCAGAGGCACTTCACTATTCTTCACTATTTCCAGGGTGGCCTTGCGGGCCAGATCTAAACACCCAGCTCCCGGGCCTTGACACCTCTGGTTTAGTGAATACAACCCAAAAGGAATGAAGAGAAAAGCAAATATTAGAATAGCTTCTTCCTTACCCGTGTTGGTCTCTCCTGTGCACAGCAGTTCTGTTTACCACAGTTTCATAAATAACCTGTAGAAATGAAAGTTCATATGTTTTGGAATTCTGTCTCCCATACCTTTTTCATGCAGTTGATATTTATTTGACCCCTTCTGTAAAACAGTTCAAACTTTAACTATTTGGATTTCCAGCAGAACATCTAATCTCAGCACTTCTTGTTCCAGTCAGATTATATAATATACACATAATTATAATATTAACAATATATTAATAAAAATATTAAATTAGTGATAAAGCTAAGTGCTCACACCAAGTTGCATGCATGTGATTTGTTAAATCTGTTTCTTAGTTCTTTCAATTCAGATTATTTAACACTTAGTTTATTTAACACAGTGTATATATCAGTGGGAATGATATGAATGGAGCTTAGAATTGAGCACTGAGTAACTTCATAATTGCTTATAATTGGCTCATAACTTTTCACTGAGACAAGTTTCACAAAAGAAATGCTAGTAATAATTGGACGAGAGGGATAATGGGGGCAACTTGCATAAACACACTTTTTTTTGATGTTCTGTTTGCTGAATGTGGAATGTCTAAAAAGGTGTGCTCTTCTTTAATTGGCAGATTAACCTACCCAAAGCAGCAAAGTCTCCAGAGCAGCACAGCCAAAGTCTAGATGACGTCCGTCTGCGTAAATGTCTACATCCACCACTGAGTACCACGTTGTCTTCGGATACCTCTCACAGTTATACATTTGGTTGTGCCTTAGAGGACAAGCTAGCCAGCTATGGATATGTGTATTCAACAGCCGATTGTAAAACTAAGTCAGCCCTCTATGGAAAGAGGTCCATGAACTGCTTGTCTTTAGATCTCTTGGGAGAAGATCCGTTCCCAGAAGAATTTGTGGTGTAGCCACATGGCGGAAGTCTCTCGGACCATCTTTTCAGAGCATCTGCAAAACAATTGAATTGCTACTGTTGGAAAACAGTACATGCATAAGTATGTTAAATATTTTATATCTCATTGGAACATTTTGTCACTAAGAATACAGCTGGCAAAGGATCTCAGATAGTGAATGTCCAACCTAAAAGTCTTTCCCCTGAGTCTGGTGCATCAGACACCTAAAAGTCTTTCCCCTGAGTCTGGTGCATCAGACACTTTTTTTTCACCTGGTTGTACTATGTATAATTTAGTGGGGCATTTCTATTTTCATGAAAGCTTGTAACTTCCATTGTTCTTGGCTTCATCGAGATAGAATATCCATTTTTATAAACTGTTCTTTTTTTTGTTGTTGTTAAATTCATGACTCTCCTTCCAACTTTTTTTTAATTATAAACAACCTTTTTGCCTATTTTCAATGTGAATAAATTAATATAGGTGGGGAAAACTGTTTTCAGGCTTTGCTTCTCCTTGTTTTATTTACCTCTATGTAGGGACGATGACCGTTTTTGTTAGAAGCAGCTAACGTGCAATAATGTTTATAGGGGCCTAATCTGTGTAATAGAATACTATGTAAGAAACAGAAAAAATTATACAAACAAATGTTGCCCCCTTTTTAGAAATGATCATTAGGTAACTGACTAGAAAGTTCTAAACTATTGGTATAAAGCAGTAGTGGCTAACCTTTTTGGGCTCCTGTGCCAAAAATTGTGCATGCGCTTGCACACTCGCACTCACGTGCCAGTACCCAGAAGGCAATGTCCACCCCCCCACATCCCCTATGCATGCGCACGCAATCCACCCCGCCACCCCCTTACCTGCATTGCACCTCACTGCTGATTTATGGCCAGTGCAAGGCCTTTTTCAGCCTCCCAAAGGCTTGAGGAAGGCTTCTGCAGGTTGCTACAAGCTTTGTAGGCCGAAATCTAGCCCTGTTTAGTCACTTCCTGTTTTTCCGAAAAAAAGGAAGTGATGAAAGGGGGCTAGATTTCAGACTACAAAGCTTGTAGGAGCCTGCAGAAGCCTTCCTCAAGCCTTTGGGAAGCCGAAAAAGGCCTCATACCGGTCAAAAATTAGCTGTGAGGCACTCACATGCGCAGTGAGGTAAGTTTGCAGCTCGCGTGCTGGCACAAATGGCTCTGCATGCCACCTGTGGCACATGTGCCATAGGCTTGCCATCATGGGTATAAAGGGCACTCAGAGCTATATCAAAATTATATCCCTGTTTTGAAGGATAATACAATTCAGTACTGGCATCTCATTGATTTGAGACTAAGTGCACTTTTTATATGATGATGATTCTAGAGGGAAGGAAAGGCACTGTGTTTAGTGAATCTCTTAACTACTCATTCTTGTGAAATGTTGGCTTGCTAATGTTTGGTTTATTTCACAAAGATGACATTGCCATAACTTTCATGAGTTATTATACACAAACATGTGTTTCCTCTGAGAGACCGTTCAATGTTCATTAACCGTACCATCTATCTATGATGAGCTGATAGCATCATGCCAGGAGGTCTGTTCTGAATATTCTTTTTTTTTTTTTTTGCAAAACTGTGAATTGGGAAATGGGGATGGTGGCTGCTCTTTCCTCCCTCAGTGGCCCCTTATATTAATGCTATGTCATAAAACATTGTCATTCCAAGGATGGGGGTGGAAGGGTAAAGGGGCCACTTATAGGACGATCTTGGCAGTAAACCTATTCTAGAAAAAGAAAAATATGCTCTTGTCCTCATTTTTCCTATATTCTCATATGTTTCCAATCTCCTCTCTAATTGGTAGAATTTCTCTCCCTAAAGCAATAAGTTGACTTTCTCTAAGTTCACCATTTTAAAAAGCAGAGAATTAAATGGAACATTTCAGCCTGTACGTATGAGTAAGATATCATCAATTTCATCACTGTTGCCCTGATTTTTATCCCCCTTCAATACTTTTGAGAGAATATATATTTGACTGTGCATATCTACGGACCACATTAGATGAGAGATGCCCATCACTCGGAGAAGTTTCCCCCTGCACCCCTCTTTTAGAAGACTATCACAAAAGTCTACCATACCATCACAATCTATTATTCATGCAGCATCACAGCCACAGTTCAAACCAGATTTCCCACATAATTTTTTTTTAAGACTCCTTTTAAAATTATACAAATGCCATTTCAGCAAATTTGAGTTTTTATTCTGAATAATGGAGAAATGGATGACCAAGAACCATAGAATCGTAAGGCTGGAAGAAGTATACATTGTACAGATGGTACAATGTATACTTGATTATGTTAGAATTTTGTCTTTTACTTCTGACCCAAACCCTTTTCCTATAAAACAAACACAAACCAAAGGGAACAGAAACCTTTGAATGATTCTTACGAATCCCCAATTAAAAGGCTGCTGCAAACTAATTAACTTTGATAAGCATAAGCTTTGCCAAAACTGTGCGAGGCTGCCAAGAATAACAGATAAGAAATATTTCACAACATAAGAGTCTTCAAATATCAACTTAAGATACTGGAATGTCCACGAGGCTGGAGTTTCAAAACATCCTTACTTCCTGCAAAGAACATTCGCTGCACAGCTGCCTTTTATCTTCCTGAAGGAGGGGCCATTACCTTGCAGCATTACTTCTGAGTCGCCTGTGCTGTTGTAGCTGCTCTTTCCTGCGAGCAGCCCTGCGTGCATGCACACTTGGCACAGGCTCCTCGGAAACCTCCTCATTGCTGCTGCCAGCCCCCACAATCTCTGAAGGCAACAGTCCACTCCCTAATGGTCCTGGCCCCTCATCTGAGTCCTCCCTCTCCTCAGCCATCTGCACCTGCTGTTGGCTAACCACAACTTCTTTCTTTCAATGGAAATGATCTCCTCTCAAAGGTGTTTGCATTTTGAAAGACAATCTGAGATGGTCGGTTTGACAATGGTCCTCAATTTACAACCTTTTGTTTAATGACCATTCAAAGTTACGATGCCACTGAAAAAAGTGACTTATAACCATTTTTCAATCTTATAAGCATTGCAGCATCCTCGTGGTCAGATGATCAAAATTTGGGTGCTTGGCATTATTTATGGCGGTTGCAACATCCCAAGGTGATGGGATCACTTTTTGCGACCTTCTGACAAAATCAATGGGGAAGCCACTCTTTACAATCATGTTACTAATTTAAAAACTGAAACAATTCACTTAAACAGCTGTGGCAAAAAAGATTGTAAAATGGGGAAAGACTAACTGTCCTGCATAGGAACAGAAATTTTGGGCTCAATTGTGGTCATAAATCAAGGACTACCCGGGGATTGAAATCCATCCATCCATTCATTCATTCAAAAGCTGGTGTTAACAGTATTTTATTTTCATGATTCCGCTTTTAAAAGAATACTAGACAACTTGTTCAATGTTTGGCCACTGTTTTAGAGACCTTCCCTTAGCTAAACAGAAAAATAGAATGGACAACAAAAAAAAAACATTGGCTGTAGGAGAGACCTCAGATTTCATGCCAGTTTCCCCCTTGAATTTCCTTGTGAGAATCTGGTAGGGAGCACTGAAAATCTCCCTCCCTCCCTCCCTCCCTTCCTTTCCAGCAGTCAGGTAAGTGGCAGCTGCTGGGTGGGGGAGTGAGTGAGAGTGGTTGCAAGACTGCCTGGGAAACTGTCACCGAATGTTGAAAACGATCACATGACAGCAATAGCAGCAGCCAATAACACTGAATCAGCCATAACATGTCCAAATTTCATCCCCTCAGGAGTCAAAAGTTTCAGATTATGGACATATTCTGTAAATCAGCCTATTTGAAGCACCTTGGTTCAAAAAAAGTTATTGCTCTTTCATGCACCATTTTGTCCAGTTAAAAGGCATGACAACAAGAATTTTAGTATATAGATCAGGGGTGTCAAACTTGATTTCATTGAGGACCATATCAGGCTGGTGTTTGACCTTGGGGGGGGGCAAGATGGGCGTGGGCAGTTTGTCACTCATGCCTGTGGTGGCCCAAGCGCTCTTCCAGTGAAAACGGGCTTCCAAGCTCCTTTTCGGCTGTGATAGACTCCTGCACCCCTCTGCCTCCTGAGCTCCATTTTCGCTGGCAGAGGCACCTGGGTCGGTCCTTCACTGTTTCCAGGATGGCCCCACAAGCCAGATCTAAGCACACCATAGGCCAGATTCAGCCCCCAGGCCTTGAGTTTGACACCCTGATATAGATGAACAGCATCAAACTCTGAGCCTTTCTTGCTACAAAATTCTCTTGCATGGAGAAAGATTCTGGGACACCCAGTTAAAGTAGTATCTTAGCCACACCAATTGCTCAAATTAATTTTTGCAACAATTCTTTTTATTGTATCTGCATGATTATAAACGATGCCAACTTTCACATTTCTGCATGAAAAAAAAAATATCACTGCCAATCTCTTCCTTTACATGCTGCTGCATTACAAAAGGCGGTGGTATATCTGCTGTATAAGTAGTGCTATTATTTTTTGTAATACGCCAGAATGGAAAATGTGCAACTTGTCCAGATTTTGGCTTGATTTCCCACAAGAGATATGAGGAGATGAACAGAGCAAAGGAGGAATACCCAAACTACAGGCAATATGAAGATGAGTCCTTGTGGAGAGCCATGAGATTCAGTACTAGGTTTAATAGTATTTCCAGGTGCCATTATTCAATTCTTTTCTATTGAACTCATAACATTGTTTTATTTCTGGCTAGACTGTGCCCCCAGAATCTTCAAAGCTTTGGAAAGGAAATGAGAATCAGGTTCAACTGATGCAATGTCTTAATGAACACTCTCTTATCACTCAACTTTCTTTTAAAGTTACAACTTGTATTTCTAATTTCAATCTTGAGATTCTATTTTGTGTACTGTACAGCTTAACTGATGTATGGGATTTCTCCCCTAAAAATGCCTTACTGTCTATAGAACTTAGAAAACCCAGCTGTCTCAACTGAATAATATTTATGACATCTCCATCTTTTATGTCCAATGTTTTTTTTTTATGAAAGGAAATACTTCCTAGGTAAAAAATAAGA